GTAGTGGCCCCGCCCGCTGGCCGAGAATGACACGGAGAGGGCACATGGGGCACACGCGTGCAGGATCCTCCGCACCTTTCTCGGATGGTAAGCTGAAATCATCCGTAAGGTAGTCTGGGCCAATGAGAACTTCTCCTGCCAGAAGCGACTCAAGAAAACAGAATCCCTGTCGCTGACAATGGACCTCGGGAACTTACTACCCCATCACAAACTGCTTAGCCACTGACCGGACGGTATACGGGTGCGCCAGAGCCATGAAATGAGCGTATTTCGTCAGCCGATCAACGACGACGAACAAGACAGTCTTTCCTCCGGAGGTAGGAAGCCCGACGATGAAATCCATACTAATGTTCTCCCACACCCGCTCGGGCACCGGTAAAGGCTACAGGAGACCCGCCGGTCGCAGATGGGACGCCTTGACCCTCTGATAGGTGTCACATGAAGCTACATAGTCCTTCACGTCCTGACCCATCTGTGGTCAGTAAAACTGCGCCCGAATCCGTCGCAGTGTCCGCTCGACCCCATAATGCCCTCCAAACGGAGAGTCATGGAACTCCTGCAACACGGTCGTCACCAATGAAGACCCCGGGGAAGCACCAGGAGCCCTCGAAAAAACACCAGCCCTTGCCGAAAGGATTAATAACCCGGGGCTTCGCTGATCGCTGTATCCCAGCCACCCTGCAAATAAATATCAATCTCAGTAAGAGCTCGCAGGGCGTCCCAGAATTGGGGCACCGACCCCGTCACTGCCGCCAGTATCTCAACCCCAGGGCTCCTCGAAAGCCCATCCGCTACTACGTTGGATGGTCCTGGTCGGTAGTGGATCTCATAATCATAACCAAGGAGCTTTGAAACCCACTTATGCTAATCGGGAGTGGAAACTCACTGCTCCAAGAGGTTCCTCAAACTCCGATGCCCCAGCCTGAGGCGTCTGCCTCAACCACAAAGGTCAGGGAGAAATCTGGCATAGCAAGGGTCGAGGTGGTGGTCATGGCCTGCTTATGCTGCCGGAACGCGTGTCCGCCTTAGGTGTCCATGCAAACCCGCCCTTCTTCAATAGATTAGTCAAGGGTCGGGCAATCATACTATACCCTTGTACAAACTTCCGATAGTAAACTGTCAGGCCCAGGAACCCTTGCAGCTCCGTGACAGTGGTCATGGTCGGCCACTCCACCATACCTTGAATCTTTGATTGGTCCACTTGTACCCCATGCGGAGTGACAATGTGACCCAAATAATCCACCTTCTGAACCCCAAAGGCGCACTTCGAAGCCTTGAGGTAGTACTGATGGTGCTGCAAAATCTCGAACACAGCCTGCAAGTGCTGCAAATGGGCCTCCCACGACGGGCTGTAAATAAGAATGTCATCGAAGAATACCAGTACGTACCGACGGAGTAAGGGCCGAAAGATGTCGTTCATAGCCACCTGGAAGGTCGAAGGAGCGTTGCACAACCCAAACGACATTACCAGGTATTCATAATGGCTGTTGCGAGTCCGAAAAGCTGTCTTGTGCGCATCCCCCTCTTGCATCCGAATCTGGTGATACCCGGCCCGCAAATCGAGCTTAGTGAAGTAGGCCGATTCGTGTAGCTCATCAAGCATGTCATCTACCGTCGGAATCTGAAACCTGTCCTTCATCGTCGCGACATTGGGAGCCCGGTAATCTATGCAGAAATGCCAGGTTCCATCCTTCTTCTTAACCAGGAGTATTGGTGAAGAGAAATGACTAGTGCTGGGCCGAATCAGCCTTGTGGTGAGCATCTCCGCCACCTGCCGCTCAATCTCCTCCTTCTGTGAGTGACCATATCGGTAGGGACGGACATTAACAACTTCCACCCCGTCCTTCAACTGAATGCGGTGATCCACCTGTCGGTGCGACGGAAGGGTGGTAGGCACCTGGAAGATCTACGGAAACCTGTCGAGGATCCGTTGGAGGTCCGGAGCCACCTCCTGCGCCTCCGTAGCCGCCACGGGCCAGCACAACACGGCGAAGTCAGCCTCACCCATTTCGGTACAGTCATGGATGAAAATAGGGCCCATGGCTGTGGTGAGCCCTTGTAGGCTCCACTCCTTGTCCCGCCACTTAAATCTCATGGTCAGGCTCTTCCAATCGGTTGTAGTCGGACCCAAACTCTGCAGCCATGAAATGCCCAAAATGACATCGAACCCCCTGATGGGTAGCACAAATAAGTAGGCGGTCACGGGCAGCCCTTGAATTTCGAGGGAGAGCCCATGGTAGGTTGTGGTACACTGCATAGGTGCACCATTCGCAACCCAGACCACCACCTTCTCCACCTCACTCGCCGCCAATGGTAGGGACTTTGCAAACTCTTCGCTGATGAAATTCAGCGAGGCGCCGCTATCCACCAGAGTTAACGCGGTCTGTGCAACCACCTAGGCTCGGAAACGAAGCGTTCCCGGAGTCGGCAGCCCGGTCGCCGAGTTGAGGGACAGCGACGGAGCGCCGCCGCACCCCTTGCCCTATCCGTTGACCGCCGCAACGCGCTCCGAGGGGCAGCGGCCTCCGACGTCGCCAGCGTGGCCGCGCCTTCCCTCCACGTCGTGGCCGGCGCCACGCCCGACCCTGTGGCTGGGTTCTCCGCTGCCGCAGCCCACCCACGGTCACGTGACTCGCGTTCGTGCTCGGCCAACGCGTACTCGATCGGCTGCCGCACGCGAGCCCATTCCAGATCGGAGAGCCTTGATGAGCTCATGTTGGCTCTGATACCTAATGATAGACCCTTGAAAGGGAGAATCGAATTGAGAATGAGAATTAGGGATTGAGAAGAAGAATTTTACAGCCTGTTTGGATAGACAAAAAACTCAGGAATTGGAATTAATCAATATGATATTTAATAATATTTAGTGGTAACAGGAAATAACAAAACTGCCACTCAAACCCGGCCCATACGGCCGACCCAACCCTACCCACTCACCCCACTCGGCGGCGGTTTCTATAAGGTATTGAGTTACCTCGCATGAGACATGAGTGGCCGAAAGGTACATTTAAGTCTAACTTAGACGAATTGAATCATCATGGTCAAGTTGACCTTATAAACTATAATCACTCATTGAAATTAATCAATATGATATTTAATAAGTTTTAGTGGTAAACAAAGGAATATCGAGTTAGATTTTTGAGAATGAATTTGAAAATCGAGGAGCCGACTCACTTAAATGAGCCGAATAGGCAAAAGTAAGGAAAAGAGTCCACTTTAATCTTGAACGTCAATTCAATTTGATTTTCATATGATCATATAATTGAGGAGGCCTACTTGATTACTAGCTAAGGAGTTCACTACTAAACACTTTGTCGTAGTGAGTACTGAGTAGTGACAACATGAGTTCATGATAAACATTTTGTGCTTACAAAGGAGTTCACTTCTAAACAAACACTTCAACAGGATTTACCTTCTGGCACTATGCAGAACCATTCATAAAAAATCAATGATTCATGAAGAAAAATGTCAAGGAATTATAAGCAGTATCAAGCAACATTGACAACCAAATACAAAGTGGGGTCCATCGATTATCAAAAAACCATAATCGTCTTGCTCTTCCGATAAATATGTACCCCAGTATTCAGTATACTCATAGTTGGTATACGATTCACCACACATTCAAGTTTCTCTCTTTCTCTTCATAAGTTTTCACAAATGATTATCTACACTCTTTCCCAAATTATAACATCTGAAAGACTTCTTGCAAATCATAATTTTTTCTTCCATACAATTCCCGACATAAATGTTTAAACAACTTATATAAGCTCAGTCTTCTCTCCAACTAAATCACATATAGTACAAGTTTGACATAATCAATTCATCCTCCTCTTTCTTTGTTAAGTGTTCAGGTTCACAAATAACTATTCAAGAACAATATCCAAAAGAAGCAAACCGCCATGTTTGACAAAAGAGGTGTATGATGTTCTCATCAAATTCCAACACTACCAATCACCTTTACTCGTCTAATCTCACTCCAATATATCAAGCTGACGTTGGAGCCTTTCCCCCACTATAGGTCAATGCATAACATATATATGCATAGAGGTTGCTTTTAACCTTCGAAGATTAACAATAATGATGGGGATAATTATAATAATTATTTGTGTCTTCCATATCTCAAGGTTTGATTTAATGTGTGATTTATTACATTGAATCGACTAATAATTAGACATTTTTCCTACTAATTAAGAGCCCCACCTTAACCTTCCCTCCCAACATACCATTTACAAGTGGGCACCCTTCCTGCCTACTATGTTCCCTTGTAAGTGTGAAAAATATATGTTAAAAATCAATAATCAATTAATATGTTATGCAATTGCACTAATAAAGGGAGGGAAAAAGATTGACTAACCTCTTCTATTCCAACCAACTCTACCTCTTGATTGAACCCTTTGTGTAACTATCTCCTTAGCTTTAGCTAGGAAGGTTGGACTTTGAAACTTCCACTCACTCTCCCTCTATTACATAAGGGTTCATCCTCTCAGATGAACTCTTGACTTTTATTTCTCAAAATGGAATAATCTACTTAATAGATAAGATTATTCTCGATACCGGTAACTGATTACTTAAAACAGTTCAGACTTTCAAGAAACATTTGAAGAGAACTAAAGGAACATGACTTTTCATTTATTTATTATCTTGAGTGTGGCTTTTATAGCTTATCATGGCTATTATATTTCCTCTATAAACCAATAACCAATGCGATACTCAACAAAATTCCAACAACTGATAAGTTTTCACTCATTTCTTTAACCATTTTGAGCGAACGAATATGCAATTTTGATCTCTCAGAGCGGACACTATCACATAATGAATCTTGCTTATAATTGAATTTCGAAAAAGTATTTACTTAACCTTTTCAAATACATTATTCAATATCAATAGATTGTTTCTTTTACCTAAAGATCAGAGCATCCTATCTAAGTTATTAGGTATACATAGGCATATGTTTCAAGGAAGTAATACAATCATCTTAAACATGCATTGAATTCCAAAACCCTTTTCATTTCAAGCAATGGGCATGTTCCTCAGCCATATATTTACATATGGGTAGAAGAAGAAACAAAAAAGTGACTAACAAACCTAATCCTTCCCAATCCCCATTTTCATAATCTATCTACACTAACTAGATATATAGTATCCCATGTGTCCAATCTATAGCTACATAAATACCTCTAATCTCAACTTCAAAGATCTTAATCTATTCACTATATGGTATATGCTGATCTACAAAAAAATTGGTTCCTCCGGCCGGCGGCCAGTCAGTTGTGAGTAGGAGGCTTCTTGCTCGCCGCCGCATAGTCCATTCCGGTGAGTTCGTCGGCGTCCGGCAAATGGGTTTCTTTGGACGGAACCTCCAAATTATCCAACTTGTTGTTATGCTCCTTCGCCTCTACCGCTACTATTTCATGCTTCTCATTGCTAACCACTTCTTTCAACCTCCTTCCTGCTATAACAAAAGCAAAAAGCACAAGAACCTTCATTAGAAAAACGTACATATGAACTCTCTTCTTGCATCAAGTATATTCATAGAAAAGAACAACGAAACTACGAAAGATCGAATCATATAGATCGATCATTACCTTGAGCATATGGAGAGATGAGGCAAAGCACGAAGAAGGCTACAAGAATGAGATGCTTGGTGGAGTGGTTCTTATGCATCTTTGACATAGATGATGATGAGTGTTTGATGATGGACTACTATGAGATTTCGATTCAAAGGGTTCTTCTTCTTCTTTGTTTGGGTTTGCTTTGGTAGCTAGTTCTTATGGTTTTTGTTTGGAAAAAAGTGGAGCCACTAGCTTATATAGAGAAGGAGAATGTGTAATAATTCTATACAAAAACTAGAGGCCAAGGCCAAACTTGTAGGGTCTTGTGACTTGTGAGACCGTCATTGTCGATGTCTCACTACTCACTAGTGTCTTTGCATGAAAGTGCTAGCTAGCAAGCTAGCCCTAGACAAGAAATGACATCCCCAATCCCTAAATGGGTTTCAATTTGTTTTTTGAAAAAAAAAAAAAAGAAGAAGATATATATCAATGAGATATGTGTACTCTATTTGCCTTAGAAACAAATTTAGAGATCTGGAATCTGGATTTGGATTCAAAGGATGGTTTGGGTGATTGGGTTGTGATTTGTTGTGAACCGTAGATAAATAAAGCTGGATGGCCAAAACGACAAAAAAGATTTGGGTTGTAACCGAATTCAAAATGTATTTTTTTATTTAAAAATTCATGTCCTGTTTGGGATTTAAAAAATTTGACTTGATTAGAGTGATTAAAAAGTCGCCCAATTCATAAAAAGTTTAACAAGATTTTGAAATCTACTAATTCATACAATGTGTTTTTCTTCTCATTTTTTTAATAAGCATTCGATAAATTCATAAAAACACTTAAGAATATATAATTCAAGTGAATAAGCCGCAAGCATCAAGACAATTGAAGAGACATCTCTTAAGGGATGTTACGAGATCGGAGTAGGAGAGCCAACCGCTATGCATCCACGTCCAAGTACTGAAATGGAATGTGGTTACTGTCATCTCGACACGATTACTTCATAACTTGCTCTGCCTCATAGCTTATGTTGATATGACTTGAATCAAACTATTTAGCTACGACTGGAAGTCACGAGAGTCTTGTTGGTTTTGAGCCAGGTTTGTAACCGTTTTTCTCTATCAGATTGGATTAGGGTTAGACCACATGGAGAAGTACTATAAATACTTCTCATACTCCTTTGTAATATGTATCTGCTCGAAGTATAGTGAAACTGACTTTTTCTCTTGTTCATGAACTACATGGAGAAGTACTATAAATACTTCTCATACTCCTTTATAATATGTATCTACTCGAAGTATAGTGAAACCGGCTCTCTTTCCTGTTCATGAACTAGCTAATAACACACATGTGAAACACATAAATTGCCCAATTTATTTGGTGGCTACTAATATTAATAGTATCACTACAAATTAGTAACCAAGCATTTAAGTTATGCAGGGGGAAAAGCCGACATGGATTGAGGCCAGAAAATCGATCATTTTCGGATAAGCTGATGAAAATCACGTGATAGGCAGTATGCATGCATGGGCCCTCTTTGATCTTGTCCTCAAATCAAAGCTCAATTAGCATTTAATAGTGACTAATGTTTGCTAACTAATAATGCCATTAATGATTTTTTTGTTCTCTAGTGAATGATTGATTAGCTAACTGGATTATATACTAGACACTAGACAATTCTGGCTCGATTTAAGACATAAAGATTTCACCTGCCACGAAATTTGAATTCATTCGACATGTTTAAGATCGTCATTGTCCGAATCACGGAATTGAATACACAATGAGTCATTAGTGTTCTGATCTTGACATGCTACATTTTCAAAGTCTTAAGGTAGCCAAAATCAAAATTTTAGTGGGCTAAAATACTTGAGGCATCCTTGTATAAGAGTATGTACCGGGAAATACCACATACTTCCTTGTCACAGTAATTGCACCTCACTTTCTGCCCAGTGCCAAGTACATCTACACCATGCTGCCAACCGGGATCATTACGATTTCCCGGTGCATTTTTCCTCTTTGCTTTACTATTTGCCACAGAATTACTTGCACTAGTACCGGCACCACCGCTTGACATTAGTACAATTCTGCAAAAAGAAAACATACATTCAAATCCAAGCAATTCAGTTAGATTGTTGTAAAATTAACCAAGCTACTCGCCTACTTCTTCTGCTGGGTTTTTGTAAAATTAACCAAGCTACTCGCCTACTTCTTCTGCTGGGTTTTTGTAAAATTAACCAATCTACTCCATAACTAATCAAGCCACAAATCAACATTCAACAGAAAGCCACAAATAAACAGAAAAATGCAAACAAAAAGAAAGAAAGAAAGACTTACGATCAGCCTGCAGATCACGATGAGGCTGAATAGCTGATGGCTTGGAGTAGGCGAGTAGCTTGGAGTAGGCGGCGCCGCTCGGTTTATGGGAGAAGGAGGTCGCCGTTGCTGGGTTGTGGGAGAAGGAAGTAGGCGTCGCCGGCGTCGCTGGGTTGTGGAAGAAGGAGTCCGCCGGCGCCGCTGGGTTGGAAGAAGGAGTCCGCCGGCGCCGCTGGGTTGGAACTTGGAAGAAGGAGGCTGCTCTGATGTTGGAGAATGGAGAAGAAAATTAGGGTAAATGAAACCCGACAGCAGCCTCTGCTTCTCACCCATTTCGCTCTGATTTTTTTTTTTTAATTTAATCACCTTAAAACGGCGCCGTTTTGGCTTATTTTGGCCATTTCCGGGCTGCACTCAAAATCGTATAAAACCGGTATAGAAACGCGTTTTTAACGTTTTTTTACGATTTTACCGCTTTTACAACCGTTTTTTTGCGATTTTATATCAAATGCGATTTCACGTAGAAACTAAAGCGTATTTGTGGGTGAAAATAGTAAAAACGTACGTTTTTACGCTTTAAAGCGCGATTTTGACAGCATTGAGAGTACACAATAAGATATGAATACAATTCAGATTATTAGTTGTCCCAAAATGAAAATGAATGGGATGCATGCACACAAAGTGACAAAAATATAAAATGAAATAGTTGAACCCTAATCACATGGCTGTTTCCATCTCGAAATCTCATCATCCCCAAATTTGACTTGTGGCTTCACTCTTGTCAACTAGATACCAATTTATTGCTCACCTAGCTATCTCTTTTCAATGTTCCTTTTCTGAGGGGAAATATTCAATGTTCCTTTGTAATTCGATTTTGTGTTTTAGAGACAGAGCAGACAGTCTGGTTGGGTTTTGGGTCCTCCTTGTAACCGAGGAACCCAACCATGATCGAACCTCCTAAGATGTAATCGGCTTAGGTGATGGGAAGCTAACTAGTAATGAGTTGAGGGGACGCATACCTATAGGAATTTGCTATGATGGTTGAAGTGTCGAACGCCTTCTCAAGTTCTCATGCAAGTTGACAATTTCTATTAAAAACACTAATCAATAGATCTGGTACTTGTTTCAGTAGACAACCATGTTGTGCAGGTCAATCGGATTGAGAAAACTGAACAGTAGCGAACACGTTGTATTCGAGATGGGTTATAGTCCCCACTCCCCACTCTACTTTCAAATGTAGGTAAATTTATATGTAAAATCAGTAATAAAATCGAAAAATAGACTAGTTAATAAGACACTATCCCCCTCTTCAATGATAATGGTTCAAATCTCTAAGTATAACTTTTTTAGCCCCCTTGTTCAGATTTCTGGCCATGCCACTGAAACTGAATGTCCATAGTTAAAATCTCATAAACCACATTACAAATTTGCTAACTCAATGCACAATCATAGTTGTACAAAAACAAATAGTCCATTATGCTCAATCTACGACCTCTCATAACACACTTCACAAATAGCTCAAAAATTACTCAAATACAAATATTTTTGGTGGTGAAATTCTTCCAACACTAATATGGTAATCACCAACCAGTCGATCATTCTGTTTGAAAGGTTGCCAGTTTGCAACAAGGTAAGTATAGCATTTGGGCAATTATTTTCCGGAAGTGATCAACTGTTTACTCTAAGTCATAGTGACTTGTAAGTCACCGTAGCAAAGTACTAAAAAAATAATACACCAAAAAAATTGAATGTATTGACTTGATGCAACCCTTAAAACATATAATTTCTTAGGGAGTAATGTGGATAAAATATTTTAAAATTGAATCGAGTCATTTTCATTTCACGAAATTTCGAATTCATCATCATAATGTGTATGTATACCATGAGATATCTCAAATATTCTGAGGACTTCTTAGGGTTTGAGCTAGGTAGCCTTTTTACCTCGAATTTTTACGTGTCTACCGAATCAAATTAGTAATAAACATGATCACATATTCCTAGACTACTGTTAATTTGTTGACACAAATGATCTGTCTCTAGCTCATACAGGAGTTGATGACCTAGGTTATAACCTAGGACACTTGGTCAAGTCTTCGTCCCCCTACCTGATAGCAAATTTCGTCTTCCTCAGAAACAAGAGCACAAAACCTAATCCCTCGCCGAGTACGAATAGATATGTGAAAAGTCTGAAAAAACCAATTTCGTCTTCCTCAGAAACGACACGTATGTATGTACCGCAAACTTGTTTCTGACTTTCGGTACCAAGTACAAACCCGTCCCGATCCGTCTCTGAAGGGTCCCGATCCGTCTCTGAAGGGTCAACTTTGTTTCGACGTCCCTATTGATTATGTCTGACACTTTAGGGACGGGTTGGGTCGGGTCAGTGGATCGGTTCAAATCAAAACAAAAAATTTTATTTTGATACTCAATATTATTTTTCTTACAATTTGGTACTTAAATTATATTTTTTACCACCCTACAATTTCAGTCGTAGTGACCTCTGATCAAATAGAGGACTCAGGGAAACTGGTGATAGATAAGACTCTTCAAAGTATGTACTGTCACATGGTTCAAAGAAGAGTTGGCCAGTCCCAAAAGATTTTTGGAGAAACCAACTGCCACCTGTCCAATCTCATACAGGTCATCGAGTACTCTACCATCTTTTGTAAATAATTGGGTGATAGTGCTTCTTGAGTTTCTGGTTCTAACCATACTGTGAAAGAAACTAGTATTTGAGTCACCACTATTGACCCACATCTGTCTAGATTGTTGAGATAATAAGGATCAAGTTGGAAGATTACCAAAATTTACCAAATCAGCAATCAAGGGGGAGCGGATCAATCAACCATGATTCAAGGAACAGCTGCTCAACTTACCCTTTCTGATCACTTTCAAACAGCAACGACTACTACAACTTCTATTTAAAGGAGCAGCAGAAGGAAGGCTCGGCACTGAAAAACAGCAAGGCATTCCTCAGTGGTAAAGGGCTAGGGTCTGGGTTGGATATCAGTGGCTTTGAATCAAGCTGAGGAATAGGTTCAGCTTGATCAAAGGGTGTAAAGAATTCCTGCGCGAATCCTGGGTCTGGTGGCATTTTAATTTTCTCACCTGAGTCTGTATTGTTTTTGATTTGTTCTTTTCCCGAGTCATAAAACAAAAATCAAAGTGTCTCTCAGGATAGTGGTACTATCCTGGGACGAGGAGTAGCCCTGTGGCGAACCTCGTTAAAAATTCCCTGCGCACTTTACTTTCTGCTCTGTTCTCTTCATTCTCGTCTCAACTCTCTGTTTTTCCATTCCTCTGGTTCGACTGCTCTCTGGCCAGGTGAAGAAGACGATCTCTCTGTCTCTTCCCTCCCGAGTCTGGGTCTGGGCTGAATCCTGAATAAGTACTGGATCAACTTAATTGATTCTTGGGCTTATCATGGTTAAGCCCACTCAGTCGAAACTCAGTCCACCGAATAAAACGAGTTAGGAGGTCGAACCAATTGGTTACAACCGGTTTGACCTGGCTGTTTGACTACCAAGTCAAAATCCCTAACTCATCTGTTCATTTCCTTCCTTCGTCATTTCTTTCGTCTTCCTCACCTTCCAAATTCTCTGAAATTCTCTGATTACAAGTGGTATCAGAGCAGGTCCTTGATCGGAGCTAACTACTGCCAAGGGAAGATCCAGTTCAATGGCTTCCACAAGCTTTGGACATGCGTCTTACAACCATCCTCCTGTCTTCACGGGATCAAACTACACCGCCTGGAAAAAGAGGATGAAGACTTTCCTCTGGGGAGTTGACGAAGAACTATGGATCGTTGTGCGCGACGGACCGCTCGAGATGGATGCCGATCAACAGAACTTCTGGTCAGCAGCTCAGAAGAAGAGCGCTCAATTGAACCAAAGAGCCATGCACATCTTGCAAACGACCATGTCACCCGAAGAGGCAGACAAGGTGGAACACTGCGAGACTGGTCAGGGAATCTGGAGCTCGCTGGAGAGCACATACGAAGGCACATCGAACATCAGGGAAACCAGAATCGATCTCCTCGTGCATGAATACGAATGTTTCGACATGGCTCCAGGTGAGGGTATTCATGAGATGTACTCTCGATCTACTCTTCTAATTAACAAGCTGAAAGGTCTAGGAAAAACTTACCTTGCTAAAGATCTGAATAGAAAACTGCTAAGATCACTTCCTAAAGAGTGGCTTCCTAAGAGAACGGCCATAGAGGAAGCTCGAAATCTGAACACCTTGTCTATAGATGAACTTGTGGGGTCTCTGTTGAGCCATGAACATGTTATTAAACAGGTTAACAAAGGTGATGAAAAAAGTAAGAAATCATTAGCATTCAAGTCTCAAGTTATAAAATATGAGTCTGATTCTGAGTTAGGAGAAGATTTCGAGAAGGAATTTGCTCTAGTCAGTAGCAAATTTCATAGGATGTTAAAATATAAACAAGAGCAAAAACTTAAGGGAAATGAAAGAAACTCCTATAATCGTTCTAACCCTTTTGACAAAGTCAAAAGTTTTTCCCAAAATAGGCTGCGTGTCCCGCAGACCAAAACTTTTGAATCAGGTGGTCAAGAAAAGGAATCTCAGGACTGTTACAAATGTGGGAAGCCTGGCCACATCAGGGCTAATTGCCCACTAACCTTAAAGGCAAAAGAACGAGCAATGAAGGCTACCACCTGGAGTGATTACGAATCTGAAGAGGAAGAAGATCAAGGAGAAGAAGAAGCTTTCATGGCGTTTGGTAAGATAGATAACTCTGAACAGAACTTCAAAACAGGGCAGAACTCTCATCTCTCTATAGCTGATTCTAAATGATACCTTGATAGTGGATGTTCTCACCATATGTCTGGTAAGAAACACCTGTTTAGCTCCTTAACTATGAAACGTGGAGGAAAAGTAACCTTTGGGGATGACAGTCAGGGTGAAATTATTGGGTCTGGATGCATAGGAAACAGTTCCTTAACTGTGATAAATAATGTTCTTCTAGTAGATGGCTTAAAACATAATCTTCTTTCCATAAGCCAACTTTGTGGCAATGGGAATCGTGTCATGTTTGAAAATGATAAGTGCTTAGTAGAACAAATTAAAGAAAACAAAATCATTCTAATAGGAAAAAGAGTCAATAACATGTATGTTGTTGACTTGACTGACTCAAGCATGCTCAATGCTAAATGTCTTCAAGTTTCCTCTCAATCATCCGAATTCTTATGGCACAAAAGACTAGGACACATTAGCTTGGCTAAGTTGTCTAATCTATCTAAATTCAATCTGGCTAGAGGGCTGCCTAAATTAAAAGACAAAACTGAATTTTTCTGCAATGCTTGTGCTGC